CCCCCAAAACCCCAAAACCCCAAAACCCCAAAACCCCTTATAACCAACCAAATATTGCCTTATTTAGGAAATATGTCTACTTTACGAGCTTCTCTACCTTGAGTGGGCATTCAAATATTGATCCAATTGCGAATCCGATTGTCTCGCTCTTCAAAATATCTTCTGGAATAGAGTATTCCATGTGAGTCAAAATATAGACCAAAGCTACCTTGAGCTCGAGCATGGCAAATGTCTGTCCTGGACAAGCTCTGCATCCAAAGGAGAATGGAACATTGCTGTATGGTCTTCTTGCCTTTCCATCAGAAGGTCTTACAAAGTACTTGTGCTCTGGGTCGAATCTCTCAGGAATGAATTTCAGTGGCTCAAAGTATTCTTCAGGATCGTAATGAATAATAGAAAGATCTTTAATGAAGGTAGTTCCTTTTTTGAATGGAACTCCAGCAATCTCTACATCCTCATAAGCATCATAATAGAGAGATTGGTAAGTTGGACCATCAATACGGAGAGATTCCTTAATGACGTAAGTGATGTAAGTAAGCTTGCTGATATTTTCTGGGTTATAGACTTCTTTATTGCCCAAATCAGTGAATCCAAGACTCTCTAGTTCTTCCATTCATTTCTTGAGACATTCAGGGTTCTTTTTCAATTGATACAGAACAACTACCATGGTATGAGAGGTTGTCTCAGTTCCTGCTGCCAAGAATCCTAAGATATCAATGAAGACTTCTTCATAGTCAATCTTGGGATCTTTAATCAATTTATTGCAAATCGAGTTCTCATCTTTAGCTTGATCCATCAAATTTCTCAAAGCTGCTTTAAAGTTCAGTAAATTTCTCTTATTTCTTTTGTATGGGTTTCACAAATCATTTTCAGCTACGAAAGGAGCGAAAGAGGCAATTGGATGAATCAATCCTTGGAAAGTGTTCTTAATAATGGCAATAAGGCTATCCATTATTGTCTTGTCGACAATTTGGCCATTATCTTCTTCAAACTTAATAGTACTCTTCGAGATATGTAGCATATCTTGACCAAAGAATACAACTGTGAAAAATCCAAAAGTGAGAACATTCATCTCATACACAGAATCAAATGTTTTGCCTTCTTCCCATTCTCCAATCTCATGCTTAAGGCAATCGTACATTGTTGGGATATACTTAGAAGCTGCGTTGAAGCTGAGCATGTTGAGGATAAGCTTTCTTCTATGCATGGCTTTATAGTTACTTCTTGACATTCCGAAACTATTTCCAATAACTTTGCCAATTCCAATATATTCTCTTCCTCTATCAATCTTCTCAGTAGCTAGAGCTTCAAGTCCAGCTTGAGCTTTGTAGGAAATAACCTTCACGAAAGGATTTGGACCAATCATCTCAAGTTTGAAATCATATCTTGAAACTTCCTGTGAGATATGCCTGTGATGATCGTAGAAGACTTTTCCAGCCATCATGTTCTTGATGTTGTCCCATGAATCTCCGAAGAAGAAAATAAACCTTGGGCTAACCCATACGTTCTTGTATTTAGAGTAGTGCCATCTCCATCTAAAACAAAATAAAATTTGAGGAATATTTAAAATGGGGTAAAAATTTTCAAGAGTAATCCAAACTAATTTTTTATGATGACAAGGAGAATGCCTTATGTCTACATAACAATAATACAGCAAGCAATGTATCTATTGAATAAAACTTGCTACCCAGTTTCTGAACATATCTTCTTTTTATAGTACTTAAAAAGTTTTTATCAAAAATCCAATCACGCGACAAACATGGGAATTGGGTAAATTACACCGAAATTATTTTGAAACAACCAATCCTAAAAGTTTATTTTCAGCTTTTCCCAGCAAATTAATAAGTGAATCATGAACTTACCCGACTGGCTTGACTACATAGAAGTACAACAGCCAGATGACTAGTGCTCCTAGCAAATACAGGAAGTATTTTAGGAGAGTGGAGAAAAGATCGCTCAGCATTTTTAATTAAATTATGTTGATTATACTATAAATTTCATTTTTAAGGCAAAAGTATGGGGTTTTGGGGTTTTGGGGTTTTGGGGTTTTGGGGTTTTGGGGTTTTGGGG